AGCTACTAAAATACTCAATTACCAATCTAATAGAAAAAAGGAATCCTAATAGGAACAAATAGCAGAGAATATACAACATGTGGTCTCCCTGATCAGATTCAATTTGGTGGCCAAAAAAAAGTTATAGCACATGTCTTTCCCTTAGGGGCTATAAGAAATTCAAAGAGCCCAAACACATAAAGATGTTAATCTATCTCTTTTTTTCTTTTAAATTTTAAATCAAGGTTAAATCACTCATCCAACTAATTATTTAATATCTACTATGTGTTAGGTCCCAAGGATACATCCGTGAAAAGACCAAATACTCCCCAACTTTACGGCACATATATTCTAACTAGGGAAACATCTAAGTTCACAGCTAATTATTTAATTCAAATTATGTGAAGTCCTATGAAGCAGTACAGAATGATAGGACAGTATATAATAGGGAAGATCTGACCTAGTTTAGGGACAGGTGGTAAGAGATGAGTTCCTTGAGGAAATAACATTTTGAAAATTTTAGAGAATAAATAAGAATTAATTAGGTGAAAGGGCAGGGAATGGCAGAGTAGTGAATAAACAGGGCTCCAGGTAGGAAAAAAAAAAGCACATATGCAGGGGTGCTGAGGAAGGGGGTGGAAAGCCTATGCAGAGGTACTAAGGCTGGGAGGAACATGGAATGTTCAAAGAACAGAAAGAAGATCAGCAACTAGAAAGCCAACAGGAAGGATTAAAGTAGCATGCAATAAGGTTGGAGAGGCAAGCGGGGGCCATGGCTCTGGTATTCATCCTATTTCCTCCTGCTCCACATTCAAGAGGGACACTAAATCCTATGGATTCTGCCTCCTAAGTATTTCTCCATTCTCGCTCCTCTCCTTCACTTCCCCTAATACTGCCTCAGCTCAAGATCATAATACTCTGCCTGGATTAATGAATTTTCCTGCCTCCAAATCTTATCCCCTCTATTCATCTTCCATAACATGAACAGAATGATCTTTCTAAGAGAAATAAAATCATGTCATTCCTACTAAATTGTGACCTATTCATTTTATATTCTTGGTGCCTAACAGAGTCTGGCATGGAATCAATATTTATAAAAATGTTTGCTGACCTGAATTGCTTAAAATCTTTCAAATGGCTCCTCACTGATTATAGAATAAAGTTCAAACTTCTTATGATGTAGCCTCTCTACTTGCTTCCCACCACTTCTCAACACACTAAACTACCTGCAGATATTTGACTATGCTGTTTTCTTATCCTCTATGCCTATATGAAGTTCCCCATATCAGGTGTGACCCTTCTCATCTCCTCATCCTTAATTCTCAACTCAAATGATCCCTACTCTGGGAAGACTTCCCTGATCTCTGGAGAATTAAATGCTTCTTTCTGAGTTCTCCATATGTATTTTTTTCTTGGTCAGTCATATCTCTCTTACAGCACTTTACATCAGAGTAATAATAGTTTTTATAATATGTTTATCTTTTCCCTTTAGATAATAAACTCCTTGAAAGCAGGGGCTATGTCTTTTTCATCTCTATATTTTCATCTCAGGCACATGTAAGTGTTTAATAAGTGCTTGTTTAAGGATGAATGAATAAATGAACACTAAACTGAATCTTTAATTTACATATTCATGTCCATGATTCACAGAGAATTAAGTATGTTTATAAAATTTTTGGGCCGGCTGAGTGGCTCAGTTGGTTAAGAGTTGGCTTGGGAGCATGAGCTCTGAGCAGCAGGGCCGCTGGTTCNCCACTGTTGGTAGAATTGTAAATTGGTGCCATCACTATAGAAAATAGTTTGGAGGCTCCTCAAAAAATTACATAGTGACCCAGTAATTCCACTTCTAGGTATTTATCCAAAGAAATCCAAAACAATAATTTGAGAAGATATATGCACCCCTCATATGTTCATGGCAGCACTATTTACAATTGCCAAGATATGGAAGCAATGTAGGTGTCCATCAATAGACAATTGATAAAGAAGATGTGGTACATATATATATAATGGAATATTACTTGGCCATAAAAAAGAATGAAATGTTACCATTTGTGGCAACATGGTTGGACCTGGAAAGTTTATGCTAAGTGAAATAAGTCAGACAGAGAAGAACTGAATAACAAAATTTATTTCATGCTTTCTCACACTCTAAAATATTCCAGGCTCCTGGGGTTAGGGATTGATTGCATGGACAAATAAAGTCTGTAAAAGATCAAAATAACTAACTTTCTCTGTCCTTTTTTGACAAAACCTTTCTGAGATAGACAATTTGGACTGCTTTAATAAACTAAGAGTTTAAATACGTAATTGTTTGGATAGAATGAATTGATTAAGGGTAAGTGATTATAATTGCAAACCTTTAAACACACAATAAAGCAACACAGATTTTTAGCAACAAAAGTGTTGTACAATTACCGTTCACTTGGTTGATTTCTGAGTTGGAGGAAAGAATCTCATCTGCCAGTTTCTGTGCAGTAGGAAGAACTTCAGTGTGGTGTGCTGTGATTAAATATTGAATAAACTTCTGTAGCTGGTCTCTATTCATCTGGAAAAGGGTTTCTGAGATAGGAAGACGCAATTTGACTTTGTCTGGTTTACGGATCCTGTAGAGTGAGAGTGCTACCACATGAGCACAGTAGAATATGTCCTTGTTCCCACAGCCACATGTCACTGAAGTGATTTTGCATCGATCAAAACTGATCGCAACTTTGTAAGTCATTGCTGGTTCAGAAGTAGTGGCTGGCTCAGTGACTGTGCCGCTGAGATGGAAGCCTAAGGAAACAAAGAAAGTGTGCTTAGGGAGTCTGTAGTAAGAAACTTGAAGATTTTCAGTTTGCATTTCAATTAATCAATTTGGAAACTATTTGCAGGGTGTCTCCTATATACATGGTAAGCTCTGCCAAAGACACAAAGGTCAGTGCAACTCAGGTATTGCTCTTAAGAAACACACAATCTAGAAAAAGTCTTTACCCTGGAGTCCTCCCGAACTAATAAGAAAACTTTTGTTTGTACATAGGTACATTTTTCTGGGGAGATAACTTTCATCACAAGTTTACAGCTTGCATCACAAGTCTCAAAAAGGTTAATAAGGAACCCCAAATAAGTTAAAAACCTCTGTAGTAAAATTTGAGCTCTAGGTGGTGGGCAAAGACAAGTCTACAAATAACACCAGTACAATCTAGAGTAAGGTGAATGCTACAAATGAAAGAGAAAACAAAAGAATGCCAAAAGGAGGGACAGGAAACAAGAACAAGAAAGATTAGGACATTTCTTCCTCAAAATATACAATTCAAAAATGGTAACCATGTTGAATACCTAAAAGGTAAGACACCTCCTATGACATGGAAAGCACAGCGTGGTGTAGTGAGACTATGCAGTGTCACCTCAACTCCTAGCACATAGCACCATTACTTTGGAAATTAAGTTCCCTGTCAACTTTTCACCTAATAGTTTTAGTAGTCATTAATATCATTGCATCAATCTATTATTTCATTACAGAGGATTTATTTCCTATTTAATTTTGACTCTCTCACCTTCTCTGACTCTTGACATCCTCATCTGCAAAATAAGGGAAAAAAACATGTAAAGTGGTCAGCTCACGGCCCTGAACATAGTGGGCTCTTGACAAATAAAGTGACAAGAAACAACCACCATAAAAACTGCTTAGAACTCATGGGAAAAACAACTACTTTATAGACACAGTTTTCCTGAATATCATCTTTGTGATGACCCTTTATTCACATTTTCCTAAAATACAAAAAGAAAACACATACATTGTGAAATCATTCTACTTATCAAATAGTCAAATATCCAAGAACTATATAGGCCTTAAAAACAGTGTCTTTTATCAGTTGTAGGTCTTGTAATGATTAAGATAATGGATGAACTGGTGGGAGAGGGAGTAGGCAGGCATACAGGAGCAACACATATTTGATCACTAGTGGCTCCAGCAGGCCATAAAGGTCAAACACCCATTTTTCCTTTCTTTGTACAGCATGTTTTTTTTGGTGCACAGCAGTCAGGGATGGTGAGCCTGGTAGAGACCTGGCTTTTGAAGAAAATAGTCAGGCAGCTGCTCCCTTTGTGTCCCTATCATTTCACACAAGAAACAACAACAACAAAACCTCAAGTGCTTTAACCCTGAGTAAGCCCTAAATAACACACCAAATACTTTCAAGGAATTCCTGTTTTGTTTTGTAAGCATTGCATCCCCTCAACGCTCCTACCCCTACACCCAAATCACAAAGCAAGCTTTGTGCTAAGAAAATGAGATGCTTGATTTCACCCCTCTGTTTTGTGGCTGAGACAGCTTCCTTACCTGACCTCTACATTGCTCAGAAATATAATAGTAAAATTGTATCACAGCCCCTTCTCCATTGCATGTCACAATGGCTCTGACATCTCTTCAGTTTCCAGGAAAATCGCTGACCTTCTAAAAACCTGCTATGGGGTAAGGCCCTACCAGTCTGTTATCCTATTAGTGTGCCATGTTTTCCTTGCCTTCAACAAGCTCAAAGTGCCATATAGGAGTGAGCAAAACTCAAAAAGTGCATAAATGGCCTCAGAGTTCCTAACAACCAAGTTCTTTGCAGGTAGCCATTGATAGAGCTTACCACGCTTAAATGTGTAGCAACAGCTCTGAGAATTTCAAGATTAGCAAGCAATTATTAAAAATCTATGAGTAGCTCATGGTTTTAAAGAGGTCTGATTCTCCTGCCTTCTAAACTGAAGGGTGGCACAAAAGGAAATGGGAAATGGAAATGATTAAAACTGTTTACTAAACAATTTTCTTTTCCAGCGTCAAGGCTGGGGAATCCAGGACATGAACCCAGCCTTGGACTAAACAGAAAGTACCAAGGACCAGTTTTCCACTTGTGGAAAATACAAATAAAATTTCTCTTCTCCAAATAAGGAAATCCTATGTTTTTCATGACTTAGCCCAAATATCTTCTCCATATTTTCTACCTGGTGCCCCAGTTAAACTAAATCATATTAAATGAAAAAGCTTTAATATGTATGCTTATGAAGTTTATAGTCTAGTTCACCAGGGAGAGATTTTACCCAGAATCAAATAATAAAGGACC